CTCTGATACCAATTGATTCCAAATCAAAAAACTTCTTCAACTGTGCTTCGACATTGTCATAAATTAACCCACAATGCATTAATTGTTTCTCATGTGGTAAATCTTCAATGCTACCGCTTACCAAACACCCAAATGCTGAGTTTTGTAACTCTAAATTTGTATTTGGTACATAAATTTGCCCGGATCTTATCAAATCGAAAAATATTTCAGATCCTAAAAGTAACTGAATTTTACCCGGTTTGTGAAAGTCTGGATCAGCTAACGAAACTCCTTGTGGAATCTCAATATTACAGACTTCAATTGGTCTAGAAGGCATTAAATGAGTAATTTTCGGAATTACGAAAAAATCTAGTTTACGACTGTATGTGTTTCCTCTATTTAAAATAACCGCACTTACTTTTGACTTCACCGTTGTTGAAATCCCAGATAAACATCCTACTGATAGGTTTACATTTTCTCTTTGCAAATGAAGCTTCTCAGCTAATTCCGATGAACAAAAATGAATCATACTTCCACTGTCAAGCAAAGTTCTGGCTGGAAATATTTCTCCTTCCATTTCCCTTAATATAAACAATCGCTGTCGATTCGATAGTAGGACTCTATTAACTGCATTACAATTTTTATTTACATTAGCTGTCATAAAACACTCGCTATTATTTCCTTATTTATGAAGTGGCTTTGCGTGAGCGTTCAGTTTCGCTACTTCCGTAGACGGGACTGGCGTCTGACTTTTGATCCGACAGAGAGGCGATTTCGCAACTCTGTCTATTTTGGGAAATCGAAACTTTTTCTCGCTCACAACACAGTAACGAATTGTGCTTTTTTCTGCATAGCCTGCAAGAGTAATTTGAAGGGCAATTTCTCACTCCATGATTTCCAAAACAGCAGAAACATAAGTTGTGCTTTTTAACATACTCGACTCTATCCTTTAAGCTGAATTTTTGAAATTTAGGGCATTTAAATAATTTATGTTCCACATTACACAGTTTACAAATTAAAGCACGTTTTTCAGTCACACATGAAACCATTCAAGAAACCTTTGATTGACTTACTGAAGCTTTTGATTTAGACATTACTGGAATTCTAGAAGTGTTTAATGCCATCGCGTGATCCTTTAGAAATTCTAATAACTCTGTAATGTTCGGTTTTCTTTCTTTAAATTCCTTTCCCACCATAACTTAGTATTCTGATCAAGTTTCTGGCTAAGAATAAAGGCAAATATAGCGGATGAAACCCCATCTAACTTTTGTTCTAAACATTCTAACGATCTTACAACTTCACTTGTAACATCAATTAAATTTAGAATCGCAGAAGCTGACTCGTTTTGAATAACGGGAATACTCATAAATCTTTTAATATGAGCATACACTTGTTCTCTAGGATTCGAGTATATTTCTTCAAGAAGAGACTACGCTAACTTATAATTATTATCCGTCATAGCTATCGTTTGGATAATTCTAAAAGCATCTCCTTTCAGTGCTGATTTCAAATATTGCAATTTTACAGCATCTGATAAATTTGGGTTTTGATCAATACTCGCTTTAAAAATGTCCTTAAAGGAAAGCCAAGAATGCATTTCTCCTGAAAATGTCGGTAACGAAATCTTAGGTAAACGCACAACAGTATTTTCAGAAATTACTGCATTTTCTACTTTATTTTCTTTAACAACGTTCGACAATCTATTATTTATTTCAAATTATATATCAATAATACTACTATTGATTTCATCTTGCTCACTGAAGATTTTTTCGATATTTTCTTCACTACTTAAATTGATAATAGAATCAAAAATATTATCGAATTCATTTTGCAGATTGTTAAATTTAGTTTTTAACAATTCTAAATCACTAACACTTAAATCTGGCTCACAAAGTTTCTTTTGCAACTTCGATAAGATAGTTTTTTGAGTTCTCTTTTTAGTGAGAACATCTTTCAGTTTCGTAGCCATTTTCGCTACACTTATCAATAACAAATTATCACACAAACTTAATTCAGAATTTACTAAATGCAACAGTTAATAATGAATAGAGTTTCAAGGGTTTTTACTTACCCCTTTCTTTCAGCAACTGGCTATAATCCACAAACACAAATTCCATTGAAACAAAATGGCAAACTCACTGTTTTACACTAGATTATTTATTTAGCTGATATCTCTGCGGCTCTACTGGACCACTCAAATGGTCCGGCGATTTTTAAGTGGACTGTAACTCTCAATTAAACTAATTTTCAAACTACTTTGTAACATATCTTTATCTTTATTATACTAATTTTTGAGAGACGCTCAGGCTCCTACAATCACTCTCTGCTTCGCCATTGAAGCCAACTCCAAAGTAATTAACATTCTTTTTGTAAACAGTAACGATGGCAGCGCCATCTGGCTTCAGAGGGACTTAACACTGCGTAGAGGCTAGTATTAAGTATTAAGGCTGCCTAGAAGCTAGTATTAAGTATTAAGGCTGCGTAGAGGTTGGTATTAAATATTAACAGCGGCTAGTATTAGTATTAAACATTAAATTATTTTATTTTATTTTACCGTATTTCCCCACCCCACCCCTTTTTAATTGATTTTATCATCCGAAAATTGAGAGGAGAAAATTACGCTATTAATTTAATTTATGAAAAACCTGGTTACAGTAAGATAACAAACATAACAAATGAAAAGTAGTGATGGCCAAAATATATGTAGCAATCACAACATTACTTCTTTAAAAAAATAATAAAAAAAAAAATCCCTGCATTCCAGCTATAAGAATGATGCACGGTAATACTATTAACATTACACTATCTGATTGATAATGAGCCGATATCTCACGACAATTGAGCCGGACACGCCGCGCTTGAGTCTTGTAAAGCTTCAGGGGCTCTTCACATGAATGAGTCTTGGCCGAAGCTTCGAAGGAGGGCATTGAAATAACGAAGGAGAAAGTGGGGAACAAATGACCCAGATTTCGAAAGATAAACACATTAGTAGCAGATAAGGCTGCAATGAGCTGGAACGTGAATAACAGAAGTAAGGTGAAATTACACGTTTGGAAAGTTTCTTAAGTGTGAGAACACTTGAGCAGTCCGGGTAGCTTAATGAACAATCTGCACAAAATAAATGCAGGGGAATTCAAATAATAAATGCAAGGGAAAATAAAATCGATGAAATGGTAATACATAAAATACAACTACAAACTGAATACACTTAATAAAAGTAAAAATAAAAATAATCCAAGGATAAAATTTACTAATAAACTAGTCCTTAGAGAAAAAAGTATGTGAAAGGGAAAATGATGCGAATATTTTCAGAAAATTAAGAACTCAGAATTTTCAGAAAGTAATGTTAAAAAGCTAGGTCAAAAGAAAATAAATAAGGGTGAAAAATACGCGAGGAAATAAGGTATTTATTTATTTATATAGCAACAAAACATCGGTCCCTTAAAAGCTAATATCGTTATTCGCTACAAATTGTTGTAATCCGTTAATCGTTTCTTAGATAATCGTTATAAGTCGGGACATCGTTATTCGTTATAAGGTAGGCTTATAAGGTTATTCGTTATAAGGTATTACATTACAAAGGCTATTTGGTCGTTATATCGGGATTCATTTGTAGCATTCAAAGTTTGTAACAACAGCACAAAATTCTGCTATTTTTTTGCTCCTGATGAAGAGGGACTTGTGCCTGTTCACCCTTGAAATCCACCGTTTCATCTGAAATCTACCCCAAACTGCTCCAGACTAAAAAGATACTCTCCAGTCAAAGAATTTTTATCATCTCTACCATCACGGAAACACATTTTAAAACTCTTCTTTGACCTCCCCTCCGAGGAGAAAGGCAAGAGATCCACAAACTGAGTCTTACGCTAATTTAACCGAATCGAGCGCCCCACAACAAGCCAGTTCCTTTCTACATTCATTCAAAGTGCTATTCTTCTTTTTGCTCAGGTGCGAATAAAAGGTCCTAACACACACACACACACACAATTTTTTCATGATAACTGATAATATGCAAACACGGACGAATGAGAAGCTGCATTCCAAGAGCGATCCGCTGCCAACACGCGAATCGAAAAACAGGTGAAAAGCAAGAGAAAAATATTGCGCCGAGGCAGGTGCACATGCGGGGGTGGGGTCGAGCTCTTGCTAACGTTTCCACCAGCATCCATCAATGTCAGAGAATAAGAAGAATACAACACCGGCAGAATCCGGGTATCAAGCCACCAACGGGTGGAAGGGTGGAAGCGAAGTGAAGAGGCTGCGGTTTACCTACTGGGCCCCACAAAGCAAGCTTTGTCTTTGGGTCGGTTGAACGATTTCAGCGTATATACACATGCACTAGAACGAATTTGTTTCGAATTAGCAAGGTAAGCTCGAAAGAGCATAAACCATAATCAAACTTGTTTTCAATGCGGATGAGGTGGGGTGGAGCAGTTTGTAAATTTCAGACAAAAGAATTTACCATGAAGCATATGTATACAATAACCTAAAAATACACACACACATATATATATATATAAGTTTAATATATTAAAATTTATAAATATTTTAATTTATATAATTTGTTTAGTTTAATTGTTTAAACATGTTATGAATAAGTTCACAAAAAAAGGTAAGCGGACTGTAATTATCACTTGTTTATTTTACATAACACTTTGAAATAGAAGGAATGCCGTCCATGTGACGACACAGCTCACATCACTCCAAGCACAGTAGCAATTAATAAAACAAAAAAGAATAGAATACAAATCACATAAATTATGAGTTGAAAGTTCGTTACCATAGCAACCAGAATTGAATCATCAGGCGGCAACGCCATCTAATGTTGCAAAGACACACTAGTAATTCGTTTGGTACGAGAAATACTAAACATAGCCCCCGGCCTTGAAGCCTTCTAAGGGTTCAAAAAAGACAAATAGTTAAAGCATACATAATAACATTAACGAACAAAAAATTAATTGAAAATATAACTAAAATTAAAGTTCAATAATATGAAAAAAGTCAATAGTTCATAGTTCATATTAGTCATGATTGGGGATAAGACACAATTTAGTAACAGCTCGTTTGAAATCACCAGCGGCTGTATGGATTGTAGCCACTCGAACTTTTTTATCACTACCTGGATGAATTAAGGCAATTCTTCCAATTTTCCATTGGTTTGGAGGCAGTTGTTCGTTTTTGATCAGAACTAAATCACCACATTTTAGATTTGGAGACGCACGAAACCACTTAGCACGTTGTTGAAGTGTTGTTAAATATTCTGCACACCATCGTTTCCAAAAATGTTGCACAGTCTGTTGAACTAGAGACCAACGTTTAAGTCGTGAAGATTTCACATCACTCAAGTCAGATTCCGGAATGGCAAGCAAAGGGGCTCCAATCAGAAAATGACCTGGAGTCAATGCACTAAAGTCGTTTGGATCACTAGACATCGCACAAAGAGGACGGGAATTCATACACGCTTCCACTTGTGTAAGCACTGTTAAAAATTCCTCGTAAGTTAGAAGTGTGGATCCTAATACTCGTTTAAGATGAAATTTCATGGATTTCACATTAGATTCCCACAAGCCACCGTAGTGAGGAGATGTCGGAGGATTAAATAACCAAGTTATACCTTCTGAGGTAATGTAGTCACATAATTCACTGCTTTTCTCAATGCGAGCTGCATTTTTATAAATCTCCTTCAGTTCCTTACTAGCACCTTTGAAGTTAGTAGCACAGTCACTCGAAATTTTAGATGGTTTGCCTCGTCGGGCGATAAATCTTTTTAGAGCTGCTAAAAACGTTGAAGTTGATAAATCACTGACTAACTCCAAGTGTACAGCTTTTGTTGAGAAACACACAAAAATGGATACGTAACACTTGAAAGTTTTTGTTCTTCTCCCAACTTGGGACTTAATAGAATATGGACCAGCATAATCAACACCGGTGACTGCAGAAGGTCTTGATGGTTGAACTCTGAGCGAGGGTAAATCACCCATTATCTGGGTCACAGTCTTGCCTCGATTCCTAATACAAGGAATACATCTGTGAATAATCTTTCTCACTACGCTTCTCACCGAAAGAATCCAAAACTGCATTCGTAAAGTGCTTATTAATAACTCTTGACTAGCATGCAAATAATTGACATGGTAATGAGTTACGATTAGTGACATGTCCTTCCTTTGGAAGCAAAATAGGATGTTTGCTATTTTCAGGAATGTTTGCATTTTTAAGCGACCACCTACTCGAATGACGCCTTCTTCATCAAGGAAGGGAGTTAATTGTATTACTCGGCTGCTCACACCTTTTAATTCTCTCGATGTTTTTAAATAAGAGAGCTCTTGAGGAAAATATGATTCTTGGACATTTTTTATCACTGTTTTTGTAGCTAATCGAAGCTCATCGGTTGTCAGAAAACCTCTCAAACGATTTTCGGAGAAGTTTCGACAGTTGTAAATAAATCTTAGGCATAATGCAACTATACGACGTAATTTTGTCCAAGATGAATACCGTTTAAAAATGTCATTTTCCTTTACCGCACAAGATACTGAAATGCAAGTTTTTCTTTCTTCTCTACGAACTCCTTCATAATCTACATCAGAAAGATGTTCACTGTCAGGACATGGTTCGAAATCTTGTGAATATAACCAAGTAGGTCCAATGAACCATCGTTCACACTTCAGAAATTCTGCTGGAAACATTCCTCTTGTACCTGAATCAGCTGGGTTCCGCTTTCCATTGATATGGTTCCACCTTACATTAGGAATTGTATTCTGTATTTTAGCAACGCGGTTTGCAACAAAGGGAACCCAACGGTATGGTTCTGCAGAAATCCAGGACAGTACAACAGTTGAATCTGTCCAGGCCAAAACTTTACGTATAGGAAACTCTAAATGTTCTAACACTGATTTAAGCAAATTCACTAACAAAACTGCGGCGCATAACTCTAATCGAGGTAATGATTGCACTTTCAGAGGGGAATTTGTTTTTGATGTTAAGAGTGTTACTTTGATGTCCAAATTACGTGACACTGAACGCAAATAAATTGCTGCACAGTAGCCTTTCTCGGAGGCATCACAAAAAGCACAGATATCAATATAGTTCACGTCAGGAATCAAAACAAATCTCGGTATTTTTAATTGTTGAATAAGATGTAAATCATTTCGGAAAGTCTTCCATTTGTTAGCAATCTCATCACTAACAGGTTCATCCCACGATAAATGGAGTTTCCACATGTCTTGTATCAAGATTTTGACATAAATAATACAAGGAGCAAGCCAACCCAATGGGTCAAATATTTTCGCTAAATCAGAAAGGATATCTCTTTTAGAGTATTTAAAGCTTTTCACCAGAAATGGATACGGAAAAGTTAAAGTAGTCTTCACGGGGGTTCCAATTAATTCCTAAAACTTTGATTGAGCTATCGTCTTGAATTTTCATAGCCTCAGAATCATTTCTCAACTCCTGGGGTATATTCTCTAACACTGACAAGTCATTGGATGACCATTTACGCAGAAGAAATCCTCCACGTTCTAACATTTGCAAGAGTTGATTTACTAGATTTTTGCACTCTTCAGTGTTTTGAGCACCTACCAAACAATCATCTACAAAAAAATTTTGAAGTACAGCCTTCGAAGCTAAAGGATAGTTATTCTGCTCATCGTAGGCAAGTTGGTATAAAACACGAGTAGCCAAATATGGAGCCGAGGCAGTGCCGTATGTGACAGTATTAAGTCGAAATTCTTGAATAGGATCACTTGGACTGTCCCGCCAAAATATCCTTTGAAAGTTTCTATCCTCTTCATTAACTAGAATTTGTCTAAAACATTTTCATGATATCAGCTGTGACAACTACTGGGTAACATCTGAATTTGACCAAAACTGGAAACAGCTCTTGTTGTATTCTGGGACCTGTCATCAATATGTCGTTAAGAGATAGTCCTGATGAAGACTTACTAGTAGCATTAAATACCACACGTATTTTACTCGTAGAGCTAGATTCCTTAATTACTGCATGATGTGGCATGTAGTATGCCTGACTTGGGGACTCTGAACTACGGACTGGTTCCATGTGCCCGAGATCCAAGTATTCCTTCATGAAATGTTTATACATATCATATGTATCAGGAGATCTTAAGAGATTTCTCTCTAAAGATTTAAATCTTTGTAAAGCAAGATCTTTAGAATTACCCAACCTTGAAGGGTTATCTTTAAATGGAAGTTTCACTACATAACGACCATTTTGATCACGGAAGTGTGTTGTTTTAAAGAACTCTTCACATTTTTTATCTTCACTTGAAATACGTTTGACTTCCGGAATGGAGTCTAAAGACCAAAATCTTTCAACTAATTCGTTTGTATTCAACTGAAGATTATTCACTGTAAAAGTGTTAGTTAGATTCGAATCATCAGTAATAGTGTTCCCGGAAATGATCCAACCCAACTGAGAACAAATTGCAAAGGGATAATGATTCTCCTCTCTTTATGATGTCTCCCTTAAGCATAGTAAAAAATACATTTACACCTAACAAAATATCTATAGGTTTTCTTTCATAGAACTTAGGATCAGCTAAGACTAGATCGTCAAAATGATTCGCAATTTTAGAAGGAAGCGACACGTTAGGCACATCTGAAGTTATCCTTGGAATCACGAATGCATATGTTCGAAATTTGGAATTTGACTCAAAGTGCGGGGTAAAGATTAATTCCACTTCTCCACTTGTTACAGTGTTGAACGAACCAAGGCACGATACTTCAATTTTTTTGTTAAATCTACCTAACTTTAGTTTACTGACACACTCTTCACTTATAAAGCTGGCTTCACTGCCACAGTCTAGTAAAGCCCTGCAAGGGATGGCTTTACCATTGGAATCACTAACTTTAATGAGAGCAGTACACAGTAATACACGTTTTGATTCACCTTTAGAATAACTAAATTGTCCTGTACATGTTGTGGCATTTGTAACGACTTCATTCTTTGGTAAGAACACTTCGGCTTTGGGGGAGAGTGAGGACGTTTGTTTTGGTTTCTCATTTTCACTAGTTTTGATATTTCGATCAAAATGAAGAACAGTATGATGAGGTAACTTACACGTCATACATTTATGTAAACTACGACAGTTTTTCACTAAATGAGGCTGAGAAGATAAACAATTAAAACAAAGTTTGTGTTTCTTAACAAATTCGATTCTTTTTGGACACTTAAGTTTAAAAACTTACCACATTTGTGAAGAGAATGATCTTCCTTGCACATTATACAACTGTTTTTACTCGACACTAAAGAAGTTAATTTGGAATTAGAAAATTTCCTAAAATCTTTAGATTGGTTTCTACTATTCTGAAGGGTTCTAGCGTGGTCTTTTAGAAACTCGAGTAAATTATCTAAAGTACCTAATTCATCTTTTTTCAAAGTTCTTTCCCACCAAAATTTTATGTTTTTATCTAATTTCTCAGTTATCAGATAAACAAAAAGAACATCAGAAAGATCAGAAACTTCTAGCTTAAGAGTTTTCAAAGAGCGTACACATTCATTCACTACATCAACACAATGTAAAATAGCTTGAGCTGAATCAGAAACATTTGGCAAATTAAACATTTTACGGATTAATGCATTAGTTAATTCTCTTTTATTAGAATAACGTTCCTGTAAAAGTTGCAACGCTATATCATAATTAGCATCAGAAATAGGAATTGACTCAATAATAGACAGAGCCTTTTTTTTACAAGAAGCCTTTAAATATTGAAACTTCTGACATTTAGAAATATTCGGATTGTTATCTACACTAGCCTTAAAAAGATCATAGAAACTAATCCACTCATCTATATTTTCCCCTGTAAAGGTAGAAAGTTCTAATTTTGGTAATCGAACGTCAGACGAATTTACTTTTGCTACACTACTTGTTTCGATAACAGAGTCACTGGAAAGTTTCTGTAACTTTTTATTTATAGTTATCCATAATTCATCTAAAGTTTCTTGTATTGTTTGTTGTTCCGTAATGAATGTATCACAATCTTTTTCAGGACACAACAAAAATATTTCCTCATAAATAGAACGAAGCTCACTGTTAAAAGCATTTAGTTTCGTTTCGAACAACTTTACCTCTAAAATTTCTGCTTGTTCTAAATTCGAATTTACCTTGCCTTTAAACGTTGTTATATTGCTTTTTAGAACCTTCTTTTTAGTTTAAAACTGGTTTCAAATCAGCCATTATGAATAACAATAAATATTATACTAACAACTCTAGCAAAAGAAGATGAAATATTGGAACGTACTCACCCCAATGTTGAGGTTTCTACGCTACACCATGCCACGGGAATATTCCACAAATCGAATCGAAAGAAAGAACACTAAGCTGTTTATTAATCCACAAATCGAAAGTGATTTAACTTGCTAATATTTGAATAAATCACATCATATCCAAAGATCGCTAACTCTTCTCTCCGGTCGCTAGGACCAGGAATGTTATGAATAAGTTCACAAAAAAAAGGTAAGCGGACTGTAATTATCACTTGTTTATTTTACATAACACTTTGAAATAGAAGGAATGCCGTCCACGTGACGACACAGCTCACATCACTCCAAGCACAGTAGCAATTAATAAAACAAAAAAGAATAGAATACAAATCACATAAATTATGAGTTGAAAAGTGAAAGATCGTTACCATAGCAACCAGAATTGAATCATCAGGCGGCAACGCCATCTAATGTTGCAAAGACACACTAGTAATTCGTTGGTACAAATACTAAACAAACATATGTGGGGAACAACCTACAAACACAAAAACAAAAGATACATTGATTCAAAGAAAAATACGGCGATCGAGCGCTCAGTAGATAGAAAATGGGGGTTCACCCACACGCGGTGTGCGGTGTGGGCGTGGCCAATGACGTCACACAGGAGGCGGGGCCAAAGGCAACGTCATCACACTAGGAGGCGTGGTCACGAGTGGAGTTGAGGTGTTGGTAGATTGCTGATTGAGTTGTAGACCTCCTGCTTTTCATTTAAAGTTAGTTTTTTTTTTAATTGGCAACGGGGTCATGGCGTCCTCTAGGGACGAAAAAAGAAAATAATTTATTTAGAAGTTTCTTTTATTAAAAAAATGTTCTATGATTCAAAATATAGGATCGAACCCTGAAACAAAATATCTGCTTTTCTGCAAAGAAATAACTGTTAAAAATATTGCAAAGAATAACATAATACTCATTAAAATTTCACACACACACACATACACATGGGCTTTTATCGAAAGCCTCAGCTTTCTGACACCTGAGGGTCTCTCTTCACAGTTTCACAGTCATGGGGTTTTTTTGAATTCCCAGGTGCCAGCCCCTTCCCACAACTCCACTGTGAAGTCATTGACCAATGATGACATTCAAAAAAATATTAATTTACTTTTTCTTTATCAGCCTCTATTTTATAATGACCGTACGCTAGTGTATGGATGCCATCCTCCAAAATATACCTTTTATCGTCGAATGGGGAGAGACTTAATTTATTCTGGCGAAGAGTGAAAAGATGATGTTCTTCACTTGCAATTCTATATTGAATCTCACGTCTAGACTGCAGGTTTTGAAGGCAGTGCTTGTAATTCTCATGCAGGATTTTACTTCGCATGACGTGACGTGAAACGCCCTTTGCCGTCTTCTTCTCCCCCGTCTCCGATAAAAAGGAATACATTTTTGCTCTCAGACCCACAAATTCATAAACCAATTTAGATGAAAATTCATCTTTCATACATCCAATTTTTTTCATGTTTTTCTGACTGTAAAGAGGATGATTAGGGGGATAGTCTGATGTATCGTAAATGTCGCTGCGATGTTTCATATCCTCATATACATCCTTCGTACGAATTTCATACGTGAGAGAATCTGTGTCAGTGAATAACAATGACGCATTTTCTCCGTACTCCTTCTTTATAATATTGTAATGGAAGTTGTACATCAGAATTTTACTTAATTCCAAAATCACAAAACCTACATAGATTGGTCGATTCAAAGTGAGGGTGTTTTTCAATCTCTCCACTGCAACAAGATTCTCACTGAAAATTTCGAATCGTTTAAAAGTGGGACATGCTACCAATTTTTTCTGCCTTTTTCCGTTCATTCACAAGTTGCACGTTAACATGGTTTCTTATATTTTCCATAGTTTTACCATAGATGGAATTATTCAGTAGTTTAAAGAAATCTTTCTCAAAAGCAGATTTTGAGTTCTTGCGTTGTTCTGTATTAAAATCA